CACGATCACAACGGCCTGAGAGCTGAACATATGTATCAGGAACATATCTCTTTGTTACTCTGCTCTTTCTTCGAGACATAACACGATGTTTGTTGACATCACAATGCGTATATTTCTTTTCATACTTTTTTTTCCTATTTCCTTTATGACATTAGAGGACATCTGTTCACATGATAATAGGCATTTTTATTTCCTATACTTTTTCAATTTTTTTTCGTGTCCTTGCACGAAATATTCAGTTATTCATTTCAATTATTCCGATGAAAATGTTATCGCAAATTTTTGCAATCGGGATTTATTGATTGATTTTGTCACTGATGATTAGAAGAGTAAAAGGGCAATTAAAAAAATCTGATTCGCCGAAGTGATTCTGTAAACGAAGACGTGGAAGTTGAAAACTCACCAAGTATATTGGTAAATATTCAAATATCATTTTTTTTTTTTAATTGACTAAACAAAGCAAATGATGGTCTTCAGAATAGGTCCATCAACAATAATGGACCATTTGTTTGAAGTTTTCCTGTGTGACACCTTCAGAAAACGCGTTCGGAGAATTCTTGAATTTTCAGACCCTATGTTAGACAAATATATGGCAATTTCCTCACCCATTTTCAGATCAAGTCTCCAAACACCATTCCCCTCTCGCAGGATTGGTTTAAGAGAGTTTTTCGTCGTTTACAAGTCCTCAACAGTGAGGTAAATGATGGTTTTAATTATTTTGTTTTATTGTTTGGTTTTTGTTGGAGTATACACCACCGGCAAGGTATTATTCTGGCAAATAAGTTTCAACACTCTGGTGGTTCCCTTTACAACCATACCCGATGTATGGTCAATGCAAACTCTCGAAAAAATGACTCAAAGACCATACCGTTCAAAACAGCGCTCAGAGGGAAATTTATAGCATTTTGAATGGAGCGTCCCCCCGGTTCTTTTTTGTTTTCTAGTAGTTCGTAAATAAATAGTAGGTATTAATAATCCCTTTTGAAGTTTATTTGAATTAGCTTACTTTTCTTCCAATCCGTTTGGAGGGAAAGGGTTGTTTCCTGGTCAAATACAATGCGCCTGAGGAAGGCAACTTAACGTCTAACCAAATTAGAAAAGTCTATTGTAATCTTCGCCCTCAATGAGTCAAGACGTACTTTCACTTCACTTGTGATGTTGCCTTGAACGCGGTATCTTTTCACTTCCCCAGGTGTTAACTTCACTACACGGCTTATCCCTTTATGCCAAGGTACCTTATCATTCCATGCGAACACACTTAACTTGGTCAACTCGTGTAATCGCACTAAAACTGGCATTCGAAATGCACGTCGGACACGACACTTATAATACGTCGTTGGCAAAAAAGGGTGACTTTGACCACTATGGAATGACACTGATAGAAGTGATGTCCCTGACAGCATTCAGTTGCGTTGTATGTATGATTGGAACGCTCTCGAATGTTCTCTTGACGATCGCTGGTCTTCTGACGAGAGAGCTGCGAAAGAGATATACGGCGGTTTTCTTGATCAGCATGTCGGTGACAGACACCATCATCTGTGCGGTTTACGAACCGATGTATATCTACGACATTAATCATGGATCTAGTGCTGTCATGGAGAAGGTCCGTTACAGACTTGGATTCTGTCTTCTCTTGGCATCGTTGAACGGTCAGTTGACCGTCACGCTGGACCGCTTCATCAACATCTTCTACCCTTACCAGTATATTGCCTTGACAAATACGAGGTTTGTCGTTCTGTCCGCGTTCTTTATTCAGTGGTTCAATGCAATACTGCTCACCCTGCTTAGCTTTCTGACAAGCAGGCCTGTTTTCAGTGTAGTTTACGTCGCAGTCATCGTCATTGGTCTCGCTTCTCTCCACATTTCCATGTATTGCGCCGCTCAGCAACATCAGCGGAGGATTGCCCGTCAGTATCCCGTTGTTAAGCAGCAAGTGTTGTTCGTCTGGAACAAGTCCACCACAGTGATTTCCATGACACTGGTAGCCACTCTGCTCTGTTGGGCGCCCATTATGATCCTACCTGCCGTAATGTCGCCGAGTTCGCCGTCTTTTAAGCGAGCCGTAAAAGTCACCCTAGCTTTCACGACGCTGAGTGCTGCTATAAATCCTTTCATATTCTTCTGGAGGCTGAAGGACTTTCGTACCGCTCTCGTTGCCTGTTTGCGAGGACTGTACACGGTTTTTCATTGTGACCGTGCATCTAATCAATAGGGAGTTTAAGAAACGACGACGGCGACGCCGTGGACAACGTCGGTTAAGAAATGAACTTAAATTTTACCCACGAATCTCGCAATACTCGTAAGTCATTTAGTTTTTTTTCTCGCCGTCAAAACTATCCCTAAACTGAATATGGAACACAGCATTAAATTAGAGATAGAAATTCAAAACGTTAGCCGTCGTCGTTCACATTCAACAGACAAGGCAAACTTTGGTCATTTCACGTTGTTGTTGTTGTTGAGGACGCAAAGAAGTTTACAAAGATTTTTACGCACGTGCACAGCCATTGTTCTGCTCATGAAACGTTTTGTCGTTGCCGTCGTGGTTTTCTTTAACTCCCTAATGTCACCAAACTATCGATTTTCCCGTAAATGCTCTGATACTCTCTTGATCCCTACTCCCGAATTTCTAGTTCTTTCAGACGGGGAACTTACAACAGAAGGGGGAAAAACCATAGGAGTTGTCTTGCTAAAACTCAGCCTAAATGTCGTCCAGCTTTTAAACGGTACAAGATTCTTTGGTTTAGGAACCCACAGAATTTACACAGGAAACTACTGAAGGCCTTCAAATACAAATATAATAATTTGCATGGAGTTTTTGTAACATAACTATTTTACCCAATGTTTTTTACTTAGATAAAGGGGGTAAGTCTCGAAAGAAACTAGTGCTGCGTCGGTGGGAGAGTATCACAGGTAATTTAGTGTTAACAACTGAGTTGAAGACGTACATTGGCCAACGTAAAGAGTGTAAAGGCCGACGTTTTGAGCGTTAGCCCTCCGTCAGAGCGATTGATTTAGAGTTTTAAGTCAGGGAAAGGGTGAAGGAGAGGGGGAGGGGAGGGGGGGAGGTATTTGAGTGTGTACGGAATTCGAGAACTCTGCCTCTGAGACACTTAAAGGAATTTATGCGTCACATTTATTCCTCATTTCGTTCCTGCTTGCCAAAGTAAGCTTAAATGATTTAAAAGCTTTTTTTATTATTATAAAACACAAGTTCTTTTGTATTGGGTTAAGCTTCACTTACTGACCCTAAAAAAAAAAGAGGGCAGAGCGGTCGGTATGGCTCGTATCCTCAGAGCAGAGATGGAAAGTTGGTTCAAATATGAGATTATATGATTGCAGTCTCTTTCAGCGCCGTTTGGGAGACAAAAGAATGTGTAAATAGTGTATAATTTTTTTATCACAAATCTCACCGATTTCTTGTCAAAATATCGTTGTTCAATATCTCTTAGAAAAACAATTTTGATCTGTATCGTTATAACCAATTACTATAATCCATAACTAGAACGAAATCATTTCTTTTCCTTACTGAAAAATTTTGCGCTTTTTAATGGCTAATAATAAAGTCATGTACATGTATATAACAATAGACAATGTTGTAAATTGTCGTAGATACGTTCTGGTGCATGGAGCTTTTGCATCGGTATAAAGATTAAAAGCTTTACAAAGAAATCACTTTAACAGCAGAAAGTTCGTTCTACATTTGTAGGTCCAGTTGACGAGGGTAGATAAGAGCTTTTGATTCATGGCTAAATGTTACGTTGGAGTTCTGGAATTACAGCACTTTGTCTTGTCGAGAAATGCAAGTTACAATATGTCCAGATGTACGTATGGTCGTCATGCACTTTAAGCATTATTAAATGCAACATTAAAAGGGTTAACAGTATTTCGATCTACATCAAGGAGGGTACAATTTAGGATGTGTATGTCACGCTTAGGTTCTCTATCTTCCGCTCTAGTTTCGGATGAATTATAACAGAGCACCCACATAAACAGTGTAACTGTTTTTAGATTTGATCCTGAAGAAAGTGTATGCGAACTGAACACAATAAAGCTTCATATTGGCGCTTTATATTGTGACGAATATTCTCATCTAACATCAACATAAATGTACTTTACCCAAATCGTTTTATGTGACGTTTCTGTGGCAGAAGACGGCGAATTCGAGCGATTTCAAGGGTTTGGTAACGGACACCCATTTAAGTGCAGATAGAGCGACGCTACTCGAAGTCCAAAGAAACAAACGGTCCGTTTGTGGCCTCACTGTGGAAACATACCTGAAAATTTTGATACGATGAAGCGACGTGCAGCAATAGGTAAACAAATATTACCCCAATCTATAAATTTAACGATTACTTGTTATTTGTGCGTTGAGGATGTTACACGCCTATCTAGAAAACGTCTCTAGGACTGAAAACCAATATTACAGATCGTACACCAAGAGCATGGTACACAGTCATGTAACTGATTTTTAACAAAGCTGATATTTCATATTTCTCAACGTTAAATGCAAACTGAAGAACTATCCGATTAGGAGCTGTTTGTCCAGGAACTTCTATCAATGGGAGTCGAAAGAAGCACGATGATTAGTTCGGTAATCGATCGGAACGTGGCGGAAAAACTACCAGACACAACGGATAAATTTCCATTGCAGGAAATTGAAGGAAATCAGGAAGATACAATAAACGGGTGGGAAATAATTTATCTTATGCATCGAAATTCTTTATCACGCCTCAAGAAAGCAGATAAAAAGGGATTTTTTTCGCAGGACTTTCTGGAAAGTATTTCAAGCCTCAATCCAGGAACGTATGCTTGCAAAACAAAATCAATTACAGGCAGTTTCCACAAATGAATTCAAGTTCTTACAGAACAGTCTTCGTACATATCGAACATTGACCACTAAAATAAAAACTGCTCGAAACTGGCGTTGAAACTGTGATGCCAAGTACCGTAGATTGCAAAAACTGTCACAGACAAATGGCTTACAACTGGGGAAGACATTCCACCAATAATGTGGCAAAAACGAGGATTTCTTGCGCTAATCTTTGTTTACTTGTAATTTTGAATATCTGGTACTCTATTTCAACACCTTTTCTCAGTTTTTCATACCAATGACAAAATTCGGACGATGCCCCAAGAAGTTTACTCTGTTGACTAAAAACTGATGAAAATGCTTACAACCCTTTTATATCTTTAAACACTACAAAAATACACGATTAATTATTCATTTAAATAATTTTCTTAATGGTTTGAATATTTCTAAAGCGAGTCTTCTGCTTCTCTCCTTGCCCGATAACTCGAAAGAGGTTAACAATTATTTACGCACGTGTGTAAATTCTATTTCAATCGAACTCTCCAGGCGCCGCAAAGAATTCGATTTCTTTGTATTCATGCAATCATCTATCAACATTTATGCCTCCAACATGCGCAGGGAAATAATTTCTAATGTCATCCAAAGGTCAGCATCACTGCTATGTAGCCACGTGACGAACACGGACGAGCGCGTGAAAAACACGCGAGGGCATTCTTAGACTTGATACCATTTCTTGTCCTTATATTTGAGTGACAGTTGGTGAGCAGCGTCCGCGAAGGCCTTAGCTCGCACATTCATCTCAGCAGTCTTCATCTCGAGATCAGAAAGCTTCTCACCCCGCTCTGTAAGAGCCTGGAAAACGGAAGGTATTAAAAAGGGTAAACGGAGAAAGAGTCATCGTAAGAGAGTGGAGGGGATGAGAGCTTTCGCCTCTTATCAGTGTCGCGAGGGATTAGATTTCCTAATGTGCAGTCATTAGGGGATTGCCTTACAACCGGATCTCATCCTATCTGCCACGGTCTTTCAACAGGATCTCTTGGTTCCTTCCTCGTAAACGTACAACTTCTAATATCACTAAGAAGCGGGTGGAAGAATACACCCTATTTTCTCTGTACCTGTTCTTGTTTCAAGTGGTAAGTTACGTCTTTCCCAAATAAATTCCATGCTACAACTACTGATCCATCATTGCCTCCCTATCTCATACAAACCTGTTTGTTTTTAGCCAGAACACCAGCCAATCCACTAGACGTTTCCTGCAGTTTTTCCATTCCTGGCCCATGGAAGCGATTGGTCAAACTGCGGGACGCACTCCCGCTGGCTGTTCCAACTGGTGAGAAATAAAAAGTAGGTTCTCTTTCTCTATTACTCGTCTACAGAATCGACACTCCATATAAGGAAATTAAAGAGTTTAACGACATAATGTACGTCATGATCTCGAGCTAAATATCTCCCGTGTTGGCCTACCCACTCATTCAATAAGTGCATGATATAGCCCATAAGGCTACCGATCTCTAGTAGTAAAGTAACCAACCCGTAATATTGAGTTAACAGGTGCCATTGGAGAAACTCAAATGTTTTCTTCGTGTCACGCTTATGACCGATGAATTTTACATTCCTCAACATTCAACAACCTTGAATGTCGTGGATGTGAAATACTTACAGAGCTGTTCTCTATCAAGAGGTGATACAGCAGTGCTGAATAAGCTGCTGAAGAAACCTTTACTTGGGGGTTCGGGTGTCTCCATGGCACGGAACAACGAACCCTGATTTTCTGTTAACATTCTGGAAAAGATACAAAATGATTACTGAACTGGATTCACAGGAAGCCTATTCAAACTCCCACAATTGATCAATAAGTAGCCTCCAGTTACAATATCACCAAACTCCTGTTTTCCTTCTCACTTTCATCTGAAGTCGAGCGATTTTCTCATTGCATTAAACCAAATTTTAAATCAAGAAACTTACGCAGAGCTAACAACTATGAGACCCTCGGCTACGTCACTTGGCTTACTAACCCGTTGCCATTCACTAGGATCATTTTTTCCCCCAAACAAACAAGAAATAGGAATATCAAAATGATATAGCTCACATCCAAGTGTAGAATGGTTCTATACTAGCAGCTGCCACAACTCTTGTTCATGGACCACGAGAACCAAGGGCAAACACTTTGAGCCTAACTCAGCACTCAGGTTATAACCAGGCTGATCTGTTCAAACCTTAACACTCACCCTGGTCTGGCAAACATCGAGAGCCTTTGAATTTCAAACGGGGAGCACAAAATGACTGCTTGAGCGTCCTCAGAGAACACAAGCGTCCTAAGAAATCTTGAAACAAAATAAAACAAGTGTAAGCTTGTATTTAAAATATTAAAAGAACATTCAATGGTACATTCTACGGTATACTACAGAAAAACTTGCGAGCCCGCGAAGAGTCCTGTAGCTTGACATGCTACAAAAAAATTGCCCACAAGCGCACGCGTTGACACCTACTCTTACATGAGTTCCTAGCACCAAATCTATTTTGTAGTCCATCATAGTGTTACATGGATGTTCTATCTCACTTGTAAATACGCAAGGTCACAGTGGCTCTAAACGCCAGGCCTGACCTGCAGTACTATACGAGGTAGCACGCTCGATTATACATCTGCAAGCATCCACGCACGCACGCAGTCTTACAGCACCAGACCTACCTGTAATCTTTCATAAGAAACGAACACTCCACGTCCATAAGCGGTGACAGGTTGGGCAGACTCAGAGCAAGCAGCTTTCCAAGACTGTTCAGACACAATAAGCAGCTGCTACCTTTGATAAAAAAAAAAGGTAGAGGGCAAGACGTCAAGCCTCCAGCAGCTATGGTTTGATATGACGAATAGTTCGCTATATTCAAGGTTAAATAGCAGTGATACATTGAAACAAGTCCACGTAAAACCAGAAAAAATTTGAAATATGCAGAGACGAAACGAGGTGAATTTGGAGGGGAAAGAAAAGTTCCTTTTCGCGGCAGCGAAGGCCTTATAACCACTGTCTTCTATTCAAGATTACAGAAAGGTATCCGAGGATCTATTGCTTCTCTCAAAAAGGCTTCAAAGCGCCACGTGTAACTACACCAGCAAGTAATAAGATTGAATAACCTGACTTGATAAAACAACTTTGCACAAAACTCTCACTTACCTTGAACAACAACAGCCGCTGCTTTGAGTAACACTGCCAAGTCCTCGACTAGATTTGCCTCAGAGAAACTTTTTGGATTCGTATGTGACGTGGGTAAAGAGTAAACCTGAAGATTAAACAAAGGATAATATTTCCTCCCGCCAACAACTAATTCTAAGATACTGTGGCTTGGTTTCCTCCTTCGAAGACGTTACGAATATGGGTCCCTAAAAACTTCTACGCAGGCCACTAGGGAACATTGTGTGACAATAACTGTTAAGTGAAGTATCTACAAGCAGAAAACTAGGTAAAAATTGTTTTTGCTAGCCGATTCTCCTGCCCGCTGTCTCGCCCTTTTGATGCGCCACAACTGAGTTGCATTAAGCATAGTCCAGTTTAGCACTCTTAAGACAAAGCTTTCTTAGAACGTTTTTAAAGGAACAGGCATTGCTTGAGTCGGAATCAAGCTTCACTTCCCAAACGTCTGCAGCAACACAGCAAACTTTTCACGAAATATCAATTGCAACTTTAGAGTAAGTGGTTGTTACTACGGTTGTTGAGATCAATTTTGTGATTAGTGAATTTAGCTGAGTGGACTTAGTAAGATTGGCTGCTTTGACTATCCGATTACTGCCCACGGTCCGATTACACTGTCCGATTACAACTCTGCAGAATAATAAGTGAAAAATAAAGCAGCTAATGCATCAATCAAATTTGGAAAAATTGTAATGGTTGGGATTAATATCTATATAATTGCGCCAATATTCGTATGAGGGCACATTGAATCATCTCCGCTAACATTAAAAGAAACGTGACATTCCTTGAATGATCTATAGTGGCAACCGCTTCAATATTATACTAAAAAAATGTAAGATGCAACTTCAAAGCGAAAGAGTCTACTGAACTGTTGACATTTTTTTAAAATATACCAGTACTAACCTTGGCTTCTCTTTCTGTACAGATAGCAACAAAATGCCTATCGAAAACTTCTCTTGTTAACAAAGAGTTTCCTAGTGGTAAAGAAGAGTAATTACGGTAACTTTTGAAGTCCAGGCTTCATACACTTTTCTATACGAAAGATAAAACTTTCAAGATAATGTGTTCCCAAACCAATAATGCATTCCTTCCATTTCCCACACTCAAAAGTAGCCACGATGCAATGCAACGAAACAATTACAGCGAAGTGGAACGCACTATAACTACTGTATGAATTAGGATAAAATGTTTCTCTACAAACACTAAAGCAGGCTTTGAAAAATCTCTTTCATGAATAAACTTTTAAACCCAATCGAATAACATCCGGAAAGTATAAGTGTGGCATACTGTAGCATTTCATTTTTCTTATGTTCAAATTTTGTAGTATATGTTTCGGGAGTACGCTGGAGAAAGGCTTATTCGAAAATCTGAAGCACTAGATAAGGAGCCTGTCAGAACGTCACGGTTTACGGAAGTAAAAAGCAGAATAATTCCAACTCTTACTCTTATTATGGTGTGAATCGTTTTCCTTCCAGAAATGAAATGGTGATGGAAAGAGATGTCCTTGGCCATCCAGTATATCTATGCTCAGGATCATACCGGCTTTAGGCTGACATAGCGTTCCTGCAGAAGAATGGAGAATGGTTAATAAGGACTACGCATGCGTATTGTAATCTCATCGCAATCTCAATGAAATGATTAGCTGATTGGTACACGCCTTGGTTCTTAAGAATGATCTATTGGAGAACTGACGCACAGATGAGGTCACCGTTGTTCTTACCGCAGTGTAACGTCATTTGTGACCTGTTACTGAACAGACACACTTCAACATGGAATCTTGTTGTGAAAATGGCAATGACGCCTGATGGCCAACGTATGGGCCACGTACGAGTGCATCCCTTTAGGCTTTTATTTCAGTACAGAATATTCTGTTACCTGTTGTAATTGTTAATACCGGCTGTGACTCTCTCTGATCTCCAACGGGCAAGTTCAAAACAACAACAAAAACATTTCCGAGGGCTGTTCCAACCCACAGACAGGGGCTGATCAAATTGTCTACAAAAACAAAAAAGAATATTAACGTATTTAAAAAGGCCGAAAATACAGCACTCTTCATTATAACTGGTTCTTGTTACCTCGCTGTAAGCGAAAGTGTTCTCTCAGTCTCGGAGACACGATCGAGGCTAGGTCAACTATTATTTTAAACGAATAAAGGGGGTAAGTTTCTAAAGAAACTGTGGTGCTGCGTCGGTGAGAGAGTATAAGAGATAATTTAGTGTTAACAACTGGGTAAATTGGCCACCGTAAAGAGTAAAAAAACTGGCGTTTCGGGCGTTAGCCCTTCGTCAGAGCGATTGACGTGGGGCTAATGCTCGAAACGTCAGCTAATACTCAGGTTGATGAGCTAATGCTCGAAACGTCAATCGCTCTGACGAAGGGATAACGCCCGAAACGTCAGCTTTTTTACTCTTTACGGTGGTCAATTTACGCTTTCAACTCCGTTGTTAACACTAAATTACCAACTATTTTTTTAAACGATTCCATTCCTTTTTTTCCAGTTTCCAGTTAAAATACGCTCGCACGCTTTCGCGATTGTTCAGACTGTTTTGTCGTCATTTTTACCAGTTTTTATTTTCTAATGCCCTCCAAAGTGATAACAATAGCAATACAGTTTGTGTTCTTGGCACATATATTTTCTGGGGCCCGACCCGGAGATCATTTTAACCCTCGGTCAGCAGTTCCGCCTAAAATGACTTTGAGTTGGGCCCAAAAAAATTATGACGCTTGCGAACATATACTCTATTGTTTCTGTATATCATCGTTGAGCAGGAATATCTTTCGTCAAAAATGAACCGTGCGTATATCTCGAAGTGCTAAGAAGGGACGGCAAGCGTCAAGAATTTCTGGCTAAACATCCGCAGTTTACCACAAAATGACCCAAGGAATGGCTCTTAAGAAGGCTCAATTAACCTCCACTCAGTCGTATTACCATTATAAATTTTTGTTTGAGAACCTTGTCCGTTTAGTTTTCTACTTACCATTCTTTCTGGTAAAAGTGCACGCAAAGCGCACACAGCTGATGCTGTCAGGGGGGCCACTATCCATGTTCGCAACACTACTTGATCTTTGTCGAATCCCATCGACAGCATCACTTTCGCCCTGTCCGTCACCACCAGGCTTGCTGAGCCGCCTCGCCAGGGGAGGTGGGCGAGGAGGACGGCTCTTCCTTTTCTCTGATTTTGAACTAAGATCTACGTGGAATTCCCCCCCTGAACCATCAGTGTTCATGGTAAATGTAATGGGGGTGCCAGTTGTCACAGGAGTTGTAACAGAATTGGCAGATGACGATGGCGATTCTGTCACAGCTGAAAAAAAAAAAAAAAAAAAAAAGAAAAAAAAAAGATAAGTATACATAGATGTTCATTGGCCCATGTAGCATGTCAGGCTGAGGAATATCGCCATTGGTAGTGTTAAGACAAACCAAAGCAGCATACTGTCCTCCCAAACCTGAATCTAATTTTCCTCTCACTGCGAGACGCGACCAAACCAGGCCTAAGAAGGAAACTATAATGCAAGGGGCAAATAACATGTACTGAGCAGTAGACGGGTCTCCCAGTAGTTATGAGCTCGTAGCTTTCTCAACAACAGAAAAAATTAAAAATAACTTTTACAAAAAGACATACAGTACCGATCAAAGGTAAGCTGACAGTCTTATCCCGATACCCGATTCGTGACTTACGACGCTCAAGTTTCGAGAATCGAAAAGCGACTTTCGAGACGCTCAAAAAATTTTTCAAGGACCTCGATGCACAGTTGCGAGGAAACGACTTATTTCTCGAACGCAGAACAATAGCGAAGGACCAAGCGCTCGGCAAGCGGCCTCCTCTCAGCGTATACAAGCTCGTAGCTTTTTTCGACAAACAAACAAAATATCGAAAAAATAAACAAACAAAACAAAAAAAAAGGTGGGAAAAGACACAGACTGATAAAATCTTACCACAGGAAGTGAAAACCATTTTGTGTTCTCAATAATATCGTAAACATTATATGACTCAGAAGATTTCCTTACCAGACATGTCTTGAGCTGACAACAAAGTAATAAGTTTCTTTTGAACTGTGTCAACCAGTGCTAATGACGGCCCATTGCTGATGGATATGCTGTAAAGGATTCAAAACATATAGCAAAATTACAACACTATCCGTATTTTGAGATCTATCAGCTGTCCCATTTAAAATGAAGACTTTCAAATCTGTAAAATTCAAAGTGAAATGTGACAAGCATTTAAAGGAGCTACACTATATTTCCGGTATTTTGTCCACTTCTCCTTTTTGGAAGTCATTGTTCGATCATGAGTTGGATTTCTTTGCGGTATATATGTTTTGTCATATGTCGTGTGATAAAATGAGAAGAGTTTCCTTCGCTCATTTTTTCAAAATTACTTTTACAAACTTGAATGTCTCTGTAGCATAAATTTAAAAGATTTTGCAGAAAATCTGGTATCTCCTTATACTATTTCCACCCTCTAACCACTCCTCTGCCAGCTCTTACGCCTGTGGAGACTCAAACTGAATACGATAAAAGGAACATTAGAGTTCACTTAGAATCACTTATTTTCTACCTTAAGATAAAAATCGTTAATGAATGCATCAGACAACCACAAGATATTCAAGAATGAACTCTTACGTAAAGAAACAGTTTGTTTCAACTTACACTCCAAACTCTGAGCTAATTGCCATGTTGCTGAGAGGCACGATATCACAGCTCACTGATGGAATCATGCAACAGAGTGTGGGTTGGAATCCTGGCGATCTCTTGTACAAACCAGTTTTGCAAGTTAGGGTGGGACAGTTCACAGTCATAGAGAGTGGCGTAGGACTGTGTGCCTGTCCCTCTCCTTTATCTTCAGTAGGACTGAACAGGTCGGAGTCTGGTGACCCATCCATACCCGTGTCAAACAGAAGATTGACGTCAAGTTGCTAAAGTCATTTACAGAACATACAAAATACATAAGTCTACTTGCACTGTCTAAATCAAATGCTAAGAATAATCTGTATGAAGTCTAATTTTCATTAATATTATTGCACCTTCATATAGAGTAATTATTCAAGGCCAAAAGTTTTGGCTTTCAATCCTGTAAAGTGATTGTAAACAGCTGAGGGAACAAATTAAGTCTCAAATTTGACTGTCTTCTGAGAAAGGGGCTACACGTTTTCACAATCAACACCCCCCCCCCTCCTTCAGGTGACAATAACACCGCAGAAAGGACTGTTCCTTGTGGATCTCGATGGGGTAACCTTTGCAGTAAAACGGTCGAAAAAATTTAGCTGTTGGGCGTAAAAATTGACTTATTATTTTAACTGTAAGTCGTAAAATAAGTTAACTATGAAAATTTTTCCTTTAAACGATGTGTCATTTTGGGTTAATCGTAGACCCTCTTTCTTCGAGTTCTAACCATTTACTGTTGATTACCATCCCTCTCAATGCTAAATATAACCTGGAGTTCCGGAATCTTGTAAAGTTTCTTGCTTTGCACAAACTTGACACTCAGTTTGCAATCCCTTACGCACTTTCTCGTTGTTTTCACCAAATAAGAAAAAGTCGATCAAAGTTGTGTGGCTTTTACACTGTTAAGTTAATCAACGTTTTAAAAGCTTATGTAAGCAAAGTAAATCAGACAAAACCTTACCACTAATTCTAATGTCTCTTCAACAAGGCTGAACTGATAAACTATAACATGGCTGGTGCCAGCCACCAGAAGTGTCCGACTTCGAACACACAGTTCTACCATGTTGACAGCATAGCAATCAATGTCGACCACGGAGGGTGGAGAATGTTCACCGCTACTACTGCCTTCAGAATGGCCATTGGCGTCACCGCTCTCGACTGCATTTGTGCTCTTTTCAAAAATTTTACTTGTTGAAAGTTTGTAGAGACATTTTAAGACCGCTGTTGGAGTAAACAGGACAGAAAGATGAGATCACTATTTGAAAGCTGACATGCAATGCATTGGCCATATATGTTTGTTCCCCCACTCTTGAACTTTCTTAGCACCAAAGCAGCATACTGTCCTCCCAAACCTTCTTCCTTTCATTAGTCAGCGAGAAAATTTTAAGGGGTGTGTTTCAAGTAATAGGGGATTGCAACGGTTTTTTTCCTTACTTCATTCTAAGAATGACCAAGAAACTAGCGACAACCTTTCCACCAATCAGATAAAACAAAAAACAGAAACAGTCCTGCTTGATCACTCCTGTTTCTTTAGCTTGTTTTTAAATGAGTTCTCATTGGCTCCTTGTCCTATTTTCTATGTTCTGATTGGCCATTGCAATCACTTGAGTTTAGCAAAATTAATCCAGCCAAGCTATAGTGTATCATGACAATATTATATAGTTAAATGGAGTAAAACTAACCTGATGAACCTTCCCAGAACTTTATAGATCCATCAGAATGACTACAACAAATGAAGGTTATTTTTTATTATGATAAATAACCATACTGCTATAGAATGTGAATAACTGCAATTTTCTTGGATGAAGTTTTGATTTATAGCAAGGGTTATCAAGATCAAGGTTTGTATTATCTACCAAACAAAATGGAACAAAAACAGTGCCACAAAGAATTAATTACATACTTGTAACCATTTGCAATTGAGGGAGGGTCATGTGTAAAGTTAATATCATATCATGATTACTCAAGTGATTTTAGACATTCTCTCAACTGATTGGTTGAGAATTCTGTCACATCTCTCTCTAATCACCCCACACAAAATAATAGAGGAGGGGGGCTAAACTCTTCAGATTAAAGTGGTAACAATTAGCTCCTCTTCAGACATTTAAACCCTGCTCAACACTTCCTTCCAACTGAAGTTGAGACAAGCACTGCAACTATCTAGTTTCATTCAGTTTTTGCTTCTGTCATTCCCAGTTGACAGACCTGCATGATCTTTCTGCCAAACTTTTTTTTTTTTTTGACAAATGATAAGTGCAATGAACAGAAAATTTAATAAAATTCATGTTTTTACACTATTTATCATGCAAACAATTACACAAAAAAAGTTAAGAGCCTCAGTTCAGGCTAAGTGAATGTTGTGAAATAATCTCCTGAACTTCGTCTCAGAGATTAGTCATCAACATTCAATTCATTTTTAGAAAAAATTAAGAATTTAATGTAATGTAATTTACAGAGAAAGTAAAATCCTCACCCAGTAATTATGAGCTCAGTGGTGCTCTTCTCTGGAGCTTCTCCCACAAGACCTCCAGCTATAGGCCAGGCCTTAACAAAAAAAAAATTTAACATGTGGACTGATTTGATTAACTTCTTATTAACTGAGTGCAATGGTTGTTCTGGGGAATATTGGCCCAAAGTTGCAGCAGTACAGACCAAGTGCAGTGAAGTTTGTACAAAAACAACCAAGGACCAATCTTCCTCAATCGGCTCAAGCAAGCAAGGTTATTAAGCAGTTTAGTACATGGCAATCAGACCAAACATGTTTCTTTTGAATATGCTAGCTTTCACAACCAAAATACATGGCTTATGACCGTTCCTGTGGAAACAGTCCATATGACAAATTATGGACTAAGTAAGAACCCATCAGAACACTTAGATTTACCTCAGGAATACCTGGATATAATATAAATACAGTTCCTATACACCTCGTTAAACATGCAAAGAGATAGCTGTAGAGAGTGTTTTAATTTCTTGCATGTTATAACTTTACAATTAAACTAAATGACGAAATAGACAAATATCATCTAACCAATCAGCTGAATAGTTAGTATTTTTCTTTATTAATTTACAGTCAAGACATTTTCAATATTGCCGATCCAAGAAGTATGAAAGATGCTTGCATGAACCTCAAATATGGCCTAGCTTAGAAAAAACCCTCTGTGGATCAGTGGTAAAGAGTATTGAACTGTATAAAGTGCAAGTCCTTGTGGCGTTTGTCTTTGTCCCACACTTATGAGAACTGAACAACATTTTTGCTTCTTGAAACTACCATCTTTCATTATCTATTCACTATGATAGCTTCTGATCACTAAACCAAGATTCTGTCCACTGTCATTGTTACTTTCAGCAGCAGCAGAGCATGTAAAGTTGAAAGAAAACATAGGATATGATCAAAATGCAGGGCACTAGATTATCACAAAAACAGGTACAAACCTGAGTACTTTCTCCCCTTTGCAACTGTCTTTTTCGTGTGCGACTGCTAGCTGTTGACCCCAATGCCACAATTAAGTCCCTTGGGCACTCATTGTAAAATTGTGTACAAGTGACTGGAGACTCATGGATGTTGAATGTGTAAGGTACTTCCATTGCAGCAGACCTGTAACATTTATTGTCCCAAAATCAAGTGAGAATTTCATTGCAACTTCAAGATACAAAAGGGCTGTCATCTTAAAAACCAACTTACCCACACAACAAGAGGGTAAAACCAGTTTAAATTTACATTAGTGGGAATGATTTATGTCACATCTATACTGCCTATTAGAGCCATATGCCCAGTAAGAGAAATCAAGTTCTAAGAGCCTAGAATCTCCCCTATTATTTCTACATTGCTTTGCCACAAAAGGAAATTCAGTTTCTGACTAAGGAAAATTGGACCCAAAAAAATGTTGCATGTGATTGATCATTTTTCTAAAACAGTGTTAAATATTTTTACCCTGAGAGAGGCAAGCATCTCCTTACTGTATCATTGTAGAATCAAACATTAATTCCCACAAGTGATTAAAATGTAACTTCTCCCTTTAATATCCATACAATATCCAGCAAACAGGTGATGAGAATACTCAAACTTATGATGCAGAAGTTGTTTTCCCCTTCTAAGGACAAATGTTCACAACCAATATACAAGGAAATGTGTAGCAGCTAAAAGGGACAAGGGCCACAAGAATAATTAAAAGGAAACAATCATCAACCAATTTGAAGCTCCAAGTAGCTGAACAAGTTCTCTCCTCATCAGTACCACAGGTAACGTATAGAGAAGGGTTTGGAGAAGGCATACTAATGCTAACGTGCAAAGGTTTAAGCCACTCCAAACTACTGACAGCAAGTTTCCATCCCAATTAATACTTAATGTGCATAACATACTTTGCAGAACTTGAGAGTAAGTCAAACACCATCAGCTTCACAGGAGTTAACACAACCAAAGCTTTAGGATCTTGTACATCTGCAATAGAAAGAAGAAGGCACTAGGAGTGTAGGAGTTTTCTTGAAATGCTGAACTCAGAGCCTTAAAAAACTTATGCAGAATCTTATTTTAAAGGTTAGTAAAGTGGAAGGTGACCTCATGAGTGAAAGTCAGAATGATCACAGAAAAATATTGAATTTGTGTACAATGAAGCCTTCACGCAGAAGCCACACCAGCTCTGCTGTAATTTTCTTGATATTATTTTCTTAAAAGTTCAAGTGCTAATTTCAGCCAGTCTCCATTAAGACACTTTGTAACAATGTTCAATACTTTCATGCAGTTTTTGTGCAATCTTTGAAAAAGACCTGGCACTATCAGTACACATGTAATTGTTTTTATTAGTCTTTGAGACTGATCACAGAATTGGAATCAATCCATTGTGGTAATGGCTGGGGTTTGGGTGGGAAGCTGTGTAATACTGAGTGACTAACTTAAGGTTATTTAAAAATGTTACATCTTTTAAGAAGGAAGCCTCAGTAACTTCTTTTAATTAGTACTGAAAATGGGGTTTGTTTTTTTTTTTGTTTTTAATTAACAGTTAGTTTTGTAGCAACATTTTGAAGAAGGAAAAAACATGATCTTGAATTCTGTTGTTAGTATCAGTCATGTTTTGATGAATTCAATATTATCAATAATGCATGAAGCTTAGGCAAGTTACCTTCTCCCCATGGAGTAGAATTGATACAAACAAAGTCCACCACAGTGTCTGTGCACAGAACTTTTATGGAGCGACTTCCTTGCATTAATGTCAGTGCTTTCTTCTTGCTGCTACACGTCCCTCCTGAGAATATCATCAATGGGTCTCTGCAAACAAATTTGAATTGAGCTGATATGATGCTAGAGACCTAAAAAATTAAAGGATATCAAAGGCACAAACTGTATTATAAATACAAACATTAAATATCTTCAATTACAAAAAGAAAATTCAACTTTTCAATGGATAGTAGGGAGACATCCAAGCCAAATTTGACAAAAAAATGCATAGCAAGTAGAACCAAAACACCACACAACCAAGTGAGAAAGAGTGCCTTCCAGTATAATATCTAGTAATTCTTAACAGAAATATAAAGTTTAATCTTTCTGAAAACCTTGTACTCGTACTACAGTGTTCTACTACATTTTTTTCCAACATTGCAAAAAATTGCAACCATTGTTTGAACACTACCCATTTGTAGGCACATTCATTTAGAAAAGCATTTTACATATTACAATTCTGTTATCATTTATAATCTGATTTCACCATGGGAGAACCATCTTAATTAAACCTCAGCTTCCAGCCACACATTTCATAATTGCATGTGGATAATTTTCTTTATTCTAATCAACTGTCTGCTTACATTTTTATTGTCACTGTCAAGGACTGTTTCATATAGTACCAATGTCACCTTCTTAGAGCCAAAGGGTTAAATAAAGCACATACCCTGAACTGACTGCCAACCACTGCACCTTGAAAATGGGTTGACATGGTCTTCCTTTGTCACTCTTACCTAAGACAATAAATTTTTTTGGTTTAAAAGATGTCAGAACTTCTGTGCACAAACTATGACTTCAGATTTATTGTTAAGGCTTTGTTTATCAACATCTGAGAGCTCTCTCAATGGACACTCTTGTAAGCAGTGAGCTTCTAACTTGCAGCTGGTTGGAACTTCATAACAAACTCTGAGCAAACTTACACATTCTTACACAAGGACACTCTCATGGGTGGCTGCTCGCATTTTCAGGGGGTATTTTGGATTTTTCCTCTGATTTTAAGCTTAAATAAGAGGGCGGGTTATCTTCTGATACAGGATTGAAACAGTGACCAGGTGGGTTTTGTGGAAGTTGACTGATCTGCCCATTTAGAAGTTGTTAAACGTGCCTGCTGGCTAAAACATTCCTTACCATGTGGAGTTAATGTCTCAACTGGTTTGTCACTGTTTTTGAGATTCCATACTGTTAAAGTACCATTACCGTGAGAGCAAATGAACTGTTTTCCATCATTCAACCAATATGCTGAGGTCATTGGCTATTTGGATCAAAGAAAAACATGCCATATTTCATGATAAATTAGTTATTAAAAAACTGCAGCAGTAGAGCAAAGCTTACAGCATTGAGGAAAACAAAGTGAAAAAGAATGGAAGAGAAAATTTTAAGTCTGTTTAGTGCAAGTGAGGTAGTCAGTGTCTGAGTAAGGTATCTGGTGTATATACAGCCTAAACCATTGCAGTTAAATTCTCAACCTGACACATATGAAGGCAGAGATCTTCTTCTTCTAACATATTATATTATCCCTTTGACCTGGCCCTACCAGTGATTAGGATCTAGTTTTTTCCTATAATATCATTCCTAAATCAAACATTAAGATCAAAAGTTAGTAAGCACCCTCTAGCTAATGGTGAAACAAGGTGAAGAGGTATATGTAATTTCCTCTAAATATCTACCCAACTGAAACATCCTAACTTAGTTTCACCCTTAACAACTCACCTGAGAATAGACACATCTATGTTCTACAACCTTCCCTCTGAGGGACCAAACAACAACAGTGCCAGACTCAAAACCTAGAAGCAACTGAAAAATACACAAATTTCAAAAAGGGATCAATATTTGTAGCATGAATCTATCAAACAGTACATATAAATGAACTAAACATTAAAACTTTAGATCCAGCATACAATCCATATACATGTACTACTAGTCCAGAACATTTGACAGAAATGTTTGAGACACTTGCTTGAAAGTAACCTACTATTGCAAATTAATTGAAAAATAAACCTTTCCTGTCGCCACTTCCCCACCATTACTATCTACAACTGGCAGCAAAATTGTTGACACATTGACCTTCTTGACCCCCAATTAGCTTGCCGCCTCATCCCCCAAAAACAATGTTGCACTGTGATTCCATGAACTTTTAGCTCCTACCACACTCCACAGGTAACAGTGATTGGAGTAGGAGGGGTCTTGTCAATGATTTAGAGTGTGATAGAAACAGGAGGGTTACTCTACACCTAAATAGGGCTCTTTAAACATGAAGTGTCTTCTAATTTTGATGCTAATTGTGGGTACATGAACAAAATGCCACATCCCCTGATAAAGAATTAGTGCAATGGCAGGGGGGAATTTCCAGAGATATCTTTTTGTTGAAGAGGAGGGGTGTTTTGTTGATGGAAGGGTACCATAAACATTCTAATAGACTGTAGTTCCTTGAATAGAGTGAAATGATGAGAAGTATTACTTCCTTGACTACATGAATTCTGTGATGTAGTAGGGCTGCAGAGAGTAACTGACCATTGGCTCCTACCTTATTTGGGTCCACTGGATTACCACTTATATGTACAACTGGACCTGGGTGGGACTTACATTTTCTACAAACGACATTCCAGAAAAATAAAATCAAATAAATGGCCTCTCTTTAATGTCAAAATCTGAAACAAGTTCTATTTGTTTCTTACTTTGTTCCATATAATTTGAAAATTAACGAAGCATGAGCAATTATGACATCACACCTGAATCACACATTTAAGGTCTCCAATTCTCTACCACTGAGCCAGAAGGACTCAATGGTGAAGGAGGTCTATAATGAGGTTCATATGACACACATCCTGCATACTGCTGGATTAGCAATGTCCATAGCGTCATGTTTGTAAACAGAATAGGAAAGATGGTAAGTTTTGAGCTCAGTAAGAAATAGTGAAAGATATTTTTCATCTTGTCACAAGTGTGGGACAGAAAAAAATAGAGTCCCAATGAAAACTAAGAATTCCAGAATTCCAGTTCCTCATGAGGACTTAGAATTTTGTCTTTGTCCTATGCTTGTGACAAGACAAAAAATATCTTTCACTATTTCTTACCAAGCTTTAAAACATAATACCATCTTTTTTTATTCTATTTACAAGGGTAGTTTAAGTTCTTAAAACCAGCCAATGAACATAGTGAAACAAACCAATCAACCAAAACAGAAAACCAATTCAAAACTTGGAATTATAACCAACCTGAAATATTCAAGGTGCTATTGTTTCTGTAATTTTTTTAAAGTGTAACAGTACTCACATTTCAATTACTTTATTCCAATTTATTGTGTATCCTGATAGCTCAAAGCTCTCAATATTTACAACATGAATATTTCCCTTTTCTGTACCAACATACAGCCACTTTGAAGAAAATGGAAGGTGCATGCACGTTAATCTGAACATGGAAGAAACAACAAAATTAGCAACTGTTCTGAAATCACAACACAGGACATTTTGCACTTCAAGAACATTGTGGAAGGGTTACACTCTATCTAAACTTAGGCATGACACTACAAGATTCCCATGTTTAACATTCAGGTTTAATTCTTTAACTCCCATGGGTGACCAAGAAAAAATTTCTCATCACAGTGTCAATACAATATCATGCAGACAAGTGATAACAATAAAGAAAAATATCAATTCAGGACTAGTTGATACAATACCACATTCTCAAGACAAACATCATAGGAATTTTGTGGAAGAGAGTAAGGAGAGTTAATGATAAGATCTTGGAAGTTAAGGGTTAAACAATTTAACATATAGGGGGTCATTTTACATACCATGACAACAGGTGCTTTCCACATCTCAAAATTACCTCCTTTTCCTCAAAATTCTGGCTAAATACATAATACATACCCCATTCTCTTCACATTTGTGGATGTACATGATTGTACAATGTATGCAAGCTTACTAATTCACCAGCAGATCCAAAAGTGCAAAGGGACCCTAAGTGTCCATGCATGGTACTTAGGCCCAACCCTTGATCAAACTCTTGCCTCTTTGAGGCTATCATTACACAAGCATATATGAGGTACATGATAAATTTTGACTACCATCTTTTCATGCAAAGAAAAACCAAGAGCCCATATTCTCCCTCTGTTCTACCATGCAAGCATAGATTTATTACAGAAATTGAAACTGTCTTTAACACAAGTTTGTAAACTTACTTCTCACGATTAAACCGCAAGGATTGCACAAGGGCAGGTTGGGCTTGTCGCAAATTCCACAAGTGAATGTAGTCATCTTCACAAAGACTTATCAAAGCTCCCTTGGAAAAAAAGAAAATTAAGTCAAATACAAAAACAAAAAAAGTTCGTAATTAAATTAGATCTAGACAGTACAAATATATTGACTCAAATTTGGGATCCACATAGATTCCCATGGTGATGTTCATAGTTAAATCACCCATTCCACTCTCCTTACTATCTGCCATGTACATTTTTTATGTTGTTAGTTCAGAGAATTTGATATTGAATCAACTAGTAACCTCCTAATTGATATTTAACTTCATTCTCATTACTATTCTGTTTGATCTAAAGGGAAAATTCTGTCTTGGTCACTCATGGAAGTTATAGGGATAAAAATTAACATTTAGGAGAGGTGAGTGAAAAATGTAACTTCGCCCAACAATTTAATTACATAGTTAGGACAACAGACAACAGTTTGTATTGGTGAAAATTGGTGTTAATAAGCGCAAGTAATAAGGGCAAGTGCAATTTGAAGTCTTTGAAAGATTTACAAGTGCTTAATTATACAAGAAATCATGTTATTACTTGTTATTAATTTAAATGAAAAATGCATCACAGACAGTCAAGACAAATGAAATTTTAGCAAGTGTGCTAAAATTGAATCAATCTTGACTTTATTTGCACTGGTGTTAAAACTGCACTCATGTTACCTAAAAATGCATTTTTTTTTTAGCCAATAAGATGCGTGAAATTTTTTTTATGCATATTAATGGAAATAAACAAACTTTCCTGTTAATTATTTTTAAGAGTGTAAGGATGAAATTCAATGTGCAGGACATCAGTATACAAGATGAAAAAGGACTGTCATCCTCACTGAACCAAAATTCACTGCAAAATTTACTAAACTTGCTTAAAATGCAGAGCAGTAACGCATGCATGATGATACCTTTGTGTCTGAGACACATTATTTTAGATAATTATCTAAAGAATGTATGCAAGAGCATGATACTTTTAGGATAAAACGACAGTGTGTCATCGACAAATAAAGAAGAACAAGTATTTATCACCTCATTTATGAGGAATATAAGTTCTCGGACAGCGGCACTACTGTCATGTTGAACGTGGCATTCCACACCAGCTCGTCCCAATCTAATTCAGAAACAGTCAAGGACTAGCGATGAGTCTTTGGCCTCAGTTTTGGTAGTGTGTCTGTTGACTAGACCATAAAGTAGGAGACAAGCAACGTAACAAAAATAAATGAGAAACGTTCCAAAACTATAATGCAAGGCGCGAATCGATTCTTTGCCCTAATATTTAATCGGTGCATGGGATGAACAAGTTTAGCCTGAAAACATGGTCTATGCTTGATGAAAGAAAATTATCACACATAAGCATTGAGAAATCTATACCTTGCCTCAGTTAAAAGCTACCAAGAAAAAATAATCATGAACTATATCACGACGTGCAGCATTCACAATGGCAACACAGATGAAAGCTTATATCCGGCTAGTAATTGTCGCAGAAGTCGACAACGTAACATCTTTTGAATATAAATAGAAACAAATAAACCAAAAAACAAACTCGTAAACTTGTTCTTTAAACATTGATTATACATGTAAACATTTGTAGTCTGGATAAGAAAAAGAGAAAACACACTTAGTAAACGTGCTATTTATTACAGAGATGTACAAAGCCTTAAACCTCACAAGTTCAACTGAAGCGACGTACGTCAGCAAATTAATTAAGTCAAGCTAGCAAGCGTCCTGCAGATAAATTACAGTATATAAGGATACAGGCGAAGAGAGCCATCGAAAGCTCCAAGAGCGAGAATACTCTGAACAGGATCGTATGCAATACAAGTTGGTTGATACGGAAAGCCATAACGAAAAGTCTGCAAAAATAAAAATCAAACACAAAGATGTGTTAAATTTGTTGAACTCTGCGTTCGTGCTTGACTGCTTATTAACAAACTATCGTGATCAGTGATACCGGTACAAACCTTTGTAAAAACAAAGTCCTCGGCCTTCAAACGATCTGTTATAACAGGCTCTTCCTTGGCACTGATGCTACCCATTCTCCCCCCATGCCCAGACCGAACTACTTTAGTTAATCTTTTCATGAATGTCCTTCTCCCGTCAGCCATCCATTTTCATTAATAGTTTCTTGTAATCCACTGGAATAACATACACAACTGACGCAAACGCTTCTGGGAGATATGTAAATACAGAACCCGGATGGCAATAGAGAAGTGGGGACCGCAAGGCGTACACAGGTTTTATTATCTTAGGCAGAATGCTCATTTCTTACTTTTTCCGTTTTCTTCCACCCTATTTGAAAGGAATGACGTAAATATAAAAAGAGTTATGTGTGTGTGTGTGTGTATATATATATATATATGTATGTATGTATGTATGTATGTACTCTTTCATCCCGAGAAGCCAGTTTCGTAATTAACTCACTCTTCAGGGGATTTTAATGACAAGAATATTCGTAACCATCGTTGATACACTGTAAAATTTGCATAACTGGCGTGGCTGTAAATTCAGATGTTCTGTTCAGCTATCACGTAGCAACGCTTCATTAATTTTTCTTTAACACAGAGGTTGCATTTTTTACTTGCGCTGCTGTAGGGTGTAAGGATGTACCATGATATTAAGTGGTCAATGTTACTGTCTTTAGAGTACAGATTTGTTTTCATGGCACATCCTTTCATCAAGCCAATCTCAATACATATCGCGCTCTACTTCTATGAAGCGAGCACTGTACTACGGAAAAATCGAAACACGGACTTCCTATATATACATATTTACATATAAATAAAATTTAGTAGTCAAATTAGTCTTCAGTTGGAGCGATTTTTAGAGTCTCTCAAAAACAACAATAATTCAGGGTTTCAAGCTTGACCTTCAATAAAATATGGTCATCAGAAATAAAAATTTGGAGGCCAAAAATAGAAATAATTAATGCAATATTCCACGTGAGCGCTGACCACAATGTTTTTCGTTGGATTACGCAGTAAGGCTAACTTTTATGGAGATTTAAGAGACATATCAAGACCATCAGGATGAAAAAGGCACATTATTATCGAAGAAAAACGACGGGGTATGAGTAACATTTCATTAAAATGCTAGGCCCACTTTTACTCCGGACCATAAAAATAAGTTGCGGAAAAAATTGAGAGTCACAGGTCATTAATTTAAGTTTTTCCGCATTCAAGAATTGCGTAAGTTATTTGACGTGGAGCTCAAGTAGTAACACGGTTCCGCGCGAAAAGTTTGCCGACCAGCCAAAACCTAATTTGTTTAGTCTTAACGCGGTTTGAAGGGTCAGTCCTATTTAGGATAGCGTTCAAAACCGTCATGAAGGCGAACAAATCTGTTTTGAACTTTGCCCATTTCTTAAAAGGTACTAGTGCAATTTTTAAAACCCTTTAATATCCAGAAGTGATATAAGTAAACTCGTAAGTTCTCCCTATAATAATCCAGACCTTTTCCAGTAGAGGTAATTATAATACTTAGACTTGTCTGTTTAGCTACTAGCGGGGAGAGTTAACATCGGATCTTGAGAGTTAAAGGGTTAAGGTGGCTGATCATTGTATTTAAGTGCGCCGTGTCTACTTGGTCGCTTTCTTGAAGGGGGGGGGGGGGGTTTGAAATATAAGCCGTTTCTTGGGTAGCGCAACTGATTTGAAATAAAGTTAAAAAGTATTTTTGTCATTCAGTGATATAGAGCTGGCCTTCTACACTTCATGGCAACTTCATGTACCAACAGAAGTGAAATTAGTGTACGACTGCTGAATGATGTTTAAGTACTGTTGTCGGAGACTTGTAAACTGCCTTTTGAATGAAAGGGAGGTTGTAAGGGAAATCGAGTGTCACTGGTTAATCATATCGGGAAATAATGTGATGTGGGTAAGAAGCGATGCCACTCAATCTTTCACAGAAGGTTTCTCAAAAATTGGTTAAAAAAAGCGTCAGGTAATTCTCACAGAGATCGAGGGAAAGAATTAATTTCGATGAAAAAAAAAATTATACAAGTATTCCTGGAGGTAAATCAGTTTAGTGACGGAGTAGAAAGAAAACTAAAAGGGAATTTCGGTCAACTTTCTCAAATTTCCTGTAAACATCGAATTCGTTCGCGAGTATTTTGAAATAACAGGGTTGTACAGGCCACCCCTAACTGGTTGTTTAACACATCTAAAAAAAAACTCATTTTGCTATTTAAAAAAAAATTAAAACACGAGAATCTTTTAAACATGATTTAGTTATTATATGAAACCAAATCATGAATGCGCGCTTGTGGTGAAAGGACTTTCAACATAAGGGTTTCTGAACTCTTTCCATCTGTATCTCTAAGACGCTAAACTGACAGAATGCAGGCCAATCCCTTGTTTTTTCCTTATTTCATACTGGCTTGTTTCCAGTGACATGTAAGCGTTCCCACATGCACCATCCATTACTATGTCCATATATGCACTGCAAGTTTTAAGATGGTCTAGTCGGGGGACTTCTAAATCACTCAAAGGTCAAGATGACCATGTCACGCCCGCAATGGCTCCAGAAACTGTGGCGATGCAGCAACAGTACCGTTCAGTAAATACTGTTGATTGTTCTTATCCACATCTTCTAGGACATATTTATAGTTCATCATCAGTCCAAAGGAATTATCCATTCCTCGTGCGCTCACATCCGCCAACCAGTTTAACCTCCACATCCACGCACCATTCCTGATGTGAAAATTACCTGACGGCGAAGAGACGACGAACACATTTCAGTTAAACTCATTTTGATACATAGCGCCTCATTTCTGCGCGTAACTTCACGCGCGAGGAGCACATTGCCAGCCTAGCGTCAGTACAATCTCTTTCACCTTCTCCATACCTCGGTAAGATGCTGGTTACTCTCAGGGGTTTTATGGTTAAATTGTCATTTTCGGCGAGAAATCGAGAAAACCCGGCAGTGATCAACCTTAAAGGTCAGAGATACATTGTAATAGTAAAAATTCTGCCATTTGAATTTGCTGATATCTCTTGAATCACTTACCAACTGGATCCATGACAAATCCTCGCCTTTTCTCTTTGTATAAATACCTGGAAAGATCAGAAATGGAGAAAAGTTTGATACGTAACTGTGTTAGAGGGTTCTTCGAATGTACACGGGTACTTTTTAGAGGGAGGAAGAGAGAGGAGCTTGGGAACGAGAATGGAGCGCCCGAAGACGCAAGAGACCAAATCAGGATTGGTCCAAGCTTAACCCTTTACACCCTAACATCAGTATGCATATTCTCCATACTGTTCTCTGTACATTTCCTATGGTGCTGACAAGGAGAATTAGCTTAACAATCCAGAGCTTCTGTAATTGTTGATCATTTCTATTATTCTCATAAACCTAATGTTTGATTCAGGGGAGATATTGTAAGGAGAAATTAGATGCTAGTCACCCTTGGGGATCCAAGAGTTAACATCTGGGCCGAGTTGTTCAAAGCTGGGTTGAGATAACTCAGGATTAGTGTGAAATCTATTTTCAGATCTGTGAGCTTTTAAAGAATATCCATTTTAATTCCACTGTTCTACAATTTTATGATTTCATGCTCTAAAAACAATTTGGAAAATAATCCCAAAACGGCTTTTGATCAGAGAAATGTAGAAACCTGGATTAAAATTTAACCCTGGATTAGCGATAACCGGCTTTCGAACAATTGGGCCCTGATTGGTTGAAAGGGTGGCGCGATTTTTCTGGACCAATCACACAGCGCGTTGAGGCAAAATTCATCCAACCACGGACAACTTTCAATGACACCCAATTAAAATTTCATCGACATCTCCCAACTGAGTAATCACCGGTTGGTAACTGATAACGTAGGCGATAAACAAGCCCATGTCCTCAAGTAACCTTCCTCTTTGTTCCATCTTCCCATTACCATAATCCCTAAATATCCCACAATTTAAAAATAATAACGGTACGTACTTGGTACAGAGGCGTACTAATGGTTTCCTTAGACAGTCAGCTATACTTGGGTTAAGGTGCCAATCGCTGGTTTCTAAAAGGTTCTGACAATAGACAAACAATGCATTTTTCAGAGACAGTTGATTATCCGTTGCTTAAAGCTACTTTAACTTTCCAAAATGCCTAAGGACAATGGGCTGCAAAACTCTCTTCCGTCATTGCCAGATAACGATTTGCATACCTTCTAGCATAGAAATATTAGAAAGACTGAATTCGAAATGTTAAGACGCGAGCTAAGAAAACTACGTCGAATATATCCCGTCGAAGCTTGCCGAAACAAATTTCTTCTCTTTAAACTGGTGCTTTTTACGAAGTGCTATGGTACAACTAAAAACAATATCTCTCGTGGGAAACTGATAACAATAATAATAGCAATAATAGTAATATTAACAATTTTATTAGGCATTTTAATACCAGTAGGAAAAATAGTAACACTTGGATTTTTGCATTCTGGGCCATTTTACATTCAGTCGCTAACCAAAACAAGAAAGACAAACTTTTCAAATTGGTGCGTCATACTTAAACAGATGTGTTTTTCCCTTGCGCACCTCTCTGCAAATCAATCGCTTGATAATTGCCATCGAAGCACCTGCTTAGCAGGCTACACGATGAATAGAATGAGAAGAAATCAAAATTTAATTATGTTTGGCGCTGAAGCCATCTAAATAACGGAATACACCAACCTTAAACAAGGAGAGCGGAGACAATTCCGAATTTGAGTGGCTGCCTTGGATAATTTCCTGTTCATCTTCCAAAAGTAGCGTTTGGGGAACGTCATTTGCTAGCAAGTAAAACAATAAAAATCAACAATCTCGACGAATACATCTGAACCTACTTTAATTATGAACCCATTCGCCATCGAATTCTCTGTAGCTTAGATGGTAGCTTAGATGGTAGCTTAGATGGTAGCTTAGATGGTAGCTTAGTTGATAGCACACCCTGCGGATAGGCTACTTTTTCGCGGGCAACTGAAGAAAGGCTTCCAAATGGTCAACTGAGATTCAAACTTTTACTCGTCTTCACTGCCTTCTGTAAAGAAGAGAAATCCATTCAGAGAAAAGGCAAAAATTACTGAATGCCTAGTCTTCATTTAACTTATTTCTTCCTTCATTTTTCTTCCTAGTTGGGACATTTCCCCCCCCCCCCCCCCTACCATTAAGCTGGTATTTCCAAAGTAACGTTTCTTACCCTGCTGTTCCAGGGCGTGCGATAGCTGCAGCTTTAGCCACTGTTTGAAGCCAGGGATAGGGGACAGTGTCGAGTATTGCGTGATGTTTGGAAACTCGTGCCGTAACTCTTCCACGACGTGCTTAATCAGAAAATTACCCAGATCTACGCCACTAAGTCCTACAAAAAGGGAAGAGAAATTATCTGTACTCATCCAAACCGTTTTACAGTTGTTCACTAGTTGAATCTCCTTACGCATATTTGTCCATCACAGATAACACTTCCTAACCAACACCTCCGCTGTATTTAAAACAAAGTTTTTCCTTACAAAGTCAGGCGCTCTTGTCAACAACGCTAGATATAAGAATTTTGGCAAAATTCATCGCCAATCTGAATGTCATGACAAGAGTATCAATGTGGCATATTGTAATGGAGAGGCAGAGAAATTCGGGACGAGAGAGACCTTTGGCCGGATCATAAGGTTATGTTCTTGCGCATGAAGCTTGACTATCATACGACCTCGCTCCACCCAAGAATACAAGTCGGTACCAACGAACAAGAAAACCCAACGAAAAGCTGGGGAGTAGACTGGGACTGAGTGGCATCCTATCCACGGGGAACAGTAATACTTCTAGTTACTTCATGCTACGTAAACCAGGTAAGGCTTGTGCAGCTACACTGTAAGCCACCTGGCTCGATTGCAGACTTACAATAACCTTCCTACCTTTAATCTAAATGACAGTGCATGGCTGTGGCTTGGACTTGTAGCCATTTAAATTCAGTTATTTATTTATTGAAAAAAACCCCTAGCCTACGCACATGCATCCATTTCTTCTTTGAAGGTGGGGGGTGGAAGGATTTGATTACACACAGACCAGAGTTCTCCTTAACCCATGCAGAAAATAAAAGTATCAATGTTTATGGGACACCTATCCTTCATTGCCTCAAAACACACCTTTTTGTGTCGAAGTGATAGAATAAAACACTGCTGCGGTTCTTTTCTCTAATTCATATTCACACGCGTCTCGATCCACCTCCGGTTCACTCAAGATAACCTGGATTGAAAGAGAGACTGCAGTAAAATACTGACTAAGGAACAGAAATCAGTTGATGATAACACCTTGACCATTATAAAAATCATTTTGGGTTTTCAAGAAGTACCCTTAAGAATGAAAAGCTTCAGTCCTAGTCAGGTAGCTACATACAGAATCCTTTTGTATCTTTGTGAACAAAATTCAAACCATTTTCCAGATTTTTTCTGAATGACAACCCACCTGTATATTATCAGCAATTTCATATTCCAGTGCAGTGTGTAACACTACCACAGGTTCACCAGGCATGGAGCGATGTGTGTAAATATAACATCTCCTGTCAGGAGCAAGTCGCCGCTTCAGGTCTTCCCAGCCAGACATTGAATGCACTGCCTCATAACGCAACACCTGAGTTACAGAAAGTATAACATAGTTACCTCATCACCATACATGGAACAACCAGGAATATTACAGTTTCTTTTCAATACAAATTTCAGGATCAGTCTTTTTGTAATTTACAGGGACACTGAGACCCTGCTCAAAACAAGCTTAAGATAGAACAACATAAACCTCTCACTCAAGGTAAGGTTGAAATTCTACCCTAGGGGACAATTTCCCCCTTACTACTGAGAGCCTTTGCTAACCAGTTGCAGGACTGTCAAAAAAACCAAATACCGGCGCAATTCACCGTCCACCCTGAAAAACACACCAGCTACTCTAATTATTTTTGGCTCAATTTTCAGCATGGAAGCAGGGCTAAAAATTACAGTACGGTCTACTACAGCGGTACGGTCGCCAGTCAAAATGACCTGCAAAACAAAGTTTACCTCGGTCATTTCTGTAGCGCTTCTTCGAGCTTCTAGTTCGAAGTGCACTTTTTTCTATCTTCTGTTTCATTCTCCTCAGACAATATCTCGTTGAAAGATGGATTACACACTCTAGTCTTACTTTTTCCGTACATTTCGACTAATTAAGGAAATGTTTGACACCCTTTTTTGGAGATGAACTTGTCACCGGCTTTTGTCAACCCTGCCCCTAATATGCTAACGAAACTTTTTTTTTTTCTGAATCATTCTACCGACTCTAATCGCGTCATTATTGTGCGGCCTAAGTGTCGAGCGGTATGGAAAGACCTGCCCGCTGAGTAGTCACGCCGAACTTAATTCAGTCTACCTGGAAATAAATCGTTTCAAACGCACTGCCACTACCTTCTAGGTGAGTTGGATCTAATTCCTGAGTTCGGCAGAGTAGTGGCGCGACACTTCGCACCACCTTTTTGAGTCAACATATCGTTGGGGCATAGCATTTGAAATAAAAATAAACTTGTGAGGAAATTAAAAACTGTTCTATCGTAGCCTCTCGTTTAGTTTTTATGGCGTTGTGTTGTTGTTGCTGTTTGTTGTTGTTGTTGTTCAGCTTCCTTTTTTTCGTTTGACTTTCAGTCATTTAATGTGACTGTTCAACATGACCGCCGAATCGAAACTTTGACCGGTCAAACCCCAATCAGGCCGGACATTGTCTGGTCACCGGCCGTTATTTTTACCCCTGGGAAGCATGATATTGTGTCACCTACTCATGGATTCACATGGGTTTATATGGGGAGATTTGAAGCTCAATCTTTCAATTGAAATCATCCAAATTTTTGCGAAAGAATGATGAGGTGAGATCTTAGAAACAGAGATACTCCTGTTGACTTGGTAATTATGTTAAAGGTATGAATTACGTGCTGCTTGCCAATAAACACCTTTTCTAGTATACTACCAGGTGATTCCCAGGTGACCTGTCTGAGATCCAGTAATCCAACAGCAAACCACTGAGCCAAGAGATTCTTGATGGATGAACTAAGAGCCTGGAGTTCCTGTCTGGCAAGTCGATCCTTCTCTTCATTCAGCCCTTCCTTGCAAGAAATTTATATCAAATACTTATGTCTACTTCTTTGCACATGTAAAATACCACAGTCAGAGTATTTTAACACACTACTATGCAAATAAAGGGCACTAACAAAATCAACATAATATTTTTAATGGAAACTGGCCATTTCCCATTCTGAAGACAGCTCTTACTCACCAACAAGTCACCTCTCATGTCAACAATGTCCTTCACACCTCCTGGTAGCTTACTGATCTGGGACAGTAATTGGGTATGAGCTGGTTCGAGAGCTTGTCGCAACTTTTCCTCTGCTTTTAAAATGGCTGGAAGTCCATTTTCCTATGAATAAAACATGAAAAATGGCAATTAGTAAAATTTAAAATTTGCCTGGAGGCAAAGGTTCTTCAGACTAACCAGTTATCTAGCCCTTTCACTTCAAGGATCTCCTTACTTCTGGCCCTTTCTTTTAATGTCCAGTCCAATAATTATTTTTTGACAAATCAAACAACAGCTCCAAGTTATAACTAGTTTTTAATTACAATCCTTTCTAATTGACCATAAACTGGTACTGTATGGACAATTAGTTTGTAGGTTACTAAAGAGAGGGACTGGCTTCAGACCAATTATTAATCCTGTTCAAAAGTAGAGATATAGCCAAGGTTCATCTATAGAAATATATCTGTCAATAGCAGGGTGGTTTGTCCAACTATTTAATACAAGAGGGATAAAAATGGCTCAACATTGCTATTGGAAAAAAATTGTTATTCGTTTCTTTAAAACTGTTCCAGATGTTGTCCTTTCATATCTCTAGGAAATATAAAGAAATATACCGTAATTTCCGGTCGTTTACCCGCGGGTAATCTGTTGATTTTGCATTTAACGCGCGCCACTGCGGGTAATAGGGAGGTGCGGGTTATGTGACAATTTTAAAATCCAGTGGTAGTTGAATTGAAAAAAAATATCACCAACACGCGTTTCCACCTCTCAAGTAAATTTTATTGTGTTAATAGTGCCGCAAAGCGGCACGAAAACATGATGCCGACTGGAGTTAATTCACGCATAACTAGTTGCGCGACGAACAAATTATTATCGGCACGCGTGAAAACAAAACCTTGATGTTGACAAAAATTATCCAAAGATATCCGGCGCATCAGTAACAAATTTCCATTAAACACTAGCTTGAGCTAAAGAGAATTTTCCCGTTTTAAGGGACTTGTTAGGCCCAATAGAACGGGAGATATCGATTTTTTCAGAAATCGCCGACAGTACTTTATAATTCAAGTTTTAATACTTACCCAGCTTTTTTTCAACAAATCAACATGGCGCTGAACGATCGCTCGCACAAAATGTGGCCACAAATTTGCATTCTGTCAAGTATGAAACGTTGAGATTTGGGCATGTGCCGCTAGTGTTTTTACTGTATAATCTTATCAATAAAGTACATGCTAATATTGACACAGAATTGTGCACGCGTCCGAATTTCTTTGACCTTTAAACTCGACAAAGACGCTTTCAAGTTTTCGAAAGTTGGATCAGACAACTTTTAAAAGACTGAAATGTATCACCTTAATGTCACGTTTTCGCCACCAAAAAGTTGAATAACAACGTGCGGGTTATCCACCAGTGCGGGTTATCTGTTGACTTTTTTTTTGCCGGTGCGGGTAATCGGCCGTGCGGGTAAACGACCGGAAATTACGGTAATCCACTTAAATTCTGACCACTCATGGCAGTTGCACAAATACCTCACACCATTAGTGCTGAAAACCTGGGTTTAAATTGCATTAAAACATATTGTAGTCTACCTGAGAGTTTGCCAAGCTGTTAGCGACTTGTACAACATCCTTGTGGTCTACACCAAGATCTCGTTCCAGAACCAAAAAAAATTCCAATTTCTCAGCCTTTCAAAAGAAAAAGGTTCTCATCATTTAACTAATGAAAAAAAATCTCTGCTAATTAAAGGGTATAATTCCTACACAGCCAAGCTAGTTCACCTTGGAGTTAACAATTTGTAAAGCTGATAAAATAACATGCTTCTTTCTGTATTTTCAAGCAAAAGAATTTCTCAGCTTATGAGTAAATTTAAATCATCGGTTACATCACTAACTCACCTTTGTTGACAATCCACTGTAGAAGTGTTTGATTTCTTTGGCAACAGCCTACATTTCAATTGAATAAAAAAAAACCTTAAACCCTTCTGCCAATAGCATATCGCAGCATAGTGGAATTGCAGCTCTATATGTCCATCTATGCCTTAGGAAAAGTTCTGGTAAAGCTAAAAATGAGAGTTGAGATCTAAATCATTGCAACATTTCAATTTTTTGCAACATCATGATAGGAAGAATAATTCTGAAATTGTTCCCTCCCCCTCCCCAACCTGAAAAGATGACAGGAGGACTGGGGGTGGGGATATGCCAGGATGAACTAACATCCTTTCCAGGGGAGAGTAACAATAGTCCTGGCTCTGGCCTTAATAAGCCAGCTTGAACAGGCAGCATGCCTTCATAAGGCTTCATATGCTAGCTGAGTACTAGACAATTGTTTACATTTGGCATAAGATCACCCCCTGAGTCTGTTCTCCTCATTCTTGCTGCTTTACTCATTATTTCACGTATTTGTGTCATCCTCATCTGGGATGGAAAATCCTCAACATGTGGTGGAGAGCTGTCAGCCATCTTAAATAACAGCCTGAGCCACTTGGACTCTACATTGTGAACCTGACAATAAAAAGAGACCCGCAAGCAAAAATTGGAAAATCATATTATAGAGAGCTAAATGTCTATATTCCATTGTGAAAGAAGACACTGTAGCTTATTTAACAATTCAATTTGAACTGAAGTCATGTTGCATGACAATGGCTGAGGGCAAAGCCCAAAACAACTGTCACACAGAATTTGAGAGCCAATTATCAAATTTATTTTGGTATAAATCAAATGGTTCTTCAAAACTTAAAAACAAGGCAGGCTTATTTTCTAGAGTGGATGAGCATAAGTTTGTACAAAAAAAAACAATAACAGCTTGATATTTTAGATTCACACACCTTATAGTGTATTGCTTCAGGGGGAAATTACAGTTGAGACAATTAAACCAATCCTATCTATCTTCTCTGAATTAAAATGTGCAAAACAGTTTATTAAGTGAAAATACAATTTACCACATTACTTGAGGATGTGCAATAACTTCTAGTCCTCCAATGTAAAACACAATGTTTGGATAGTTTATTTTGATTCCAGTTTTTGAATCCTGGAATGAATCTGAACAAATAAGAGAGTACAGAGAAGATGAAAAATGAAAATATTAGTATCAATTTCACCCTGACCAACAAAACTGAAACGAACTTCATAATTTGCAACCCTGATTAAAGAAAACATTTCCTGTAAGATTGTGAATCTGGATGGCATCGTGAGTGGTCAGGCAAGATAAAAGAGACCCTTTGTCCTGAAAGGTCATATGGTAACATGCAAGATCGGCTGGACTTATCTGTTAGGTATTGCATGCTCTACATGAAGAAATAGGCAAATTATTTCTGTGCAATCTTTCAGGTTATATTAATTAGTGGATACTGGCCTCTTTCTTTTCTAACATGTACGTTTTTAAAAACAAACAGAATGAGGAAATAAAATGAACAATATTAAGTCGTCTTGAAATCACTTGATCTGTAGCTAATATGTACATGTATATTGTAATTTCATCTATTCTCGTCTGAGTTCGTTCAGAAATTATAAACACGTTTGAATTGCATACATACATATATTACTAACGAAATATTTTGACCATATCTAGTCATCTTGAAATCACACTTGATCTGCAACGAAGTATGTTGTAATTTGATCTTTCCTCGTCAATTTTAAGAGTGATATTAGCTAATGACGTTTAAACCGTATTTTCAAAGTTTCTTCATAGGTAATGGCAACGCAAACAATACACTATAAAAATGTTTAACCTAGTGAGGTATTGCGTGCTCGTAAATTTTGAAATAAACGAAAGATAGGCTGTAAAATTAAAGACGAGCAGCACAAACATAAGCCTAACACAACAGGCAGTACACTAAAAAGAGTATTTGAGAGCAAAATTTGAACTTACGCGACAAAAATTTCACTGATATATCTTCAACCCATCAAAAATCTTTCTAAAAAGCTGCACTCACCTTAAGACCAGCACACGTTGCAGTATTTTCATGACACTTTCAGTTTCACTACGCTTCTTGGAAAGTTTGAGACGACTGAAGAGCTGTAGAGTGACCAGCGGACTACCACCTAAGAATATTTTTACTTTGTTTAAGTACTTTGTATGTGTCCTGACGAACTGCGCGGCCTTTGACGAAATGTAAGAGAATGGGTATTGGGGGGTTAGCTTTTATTATGGCGAGTTAACGTAACAAATTCACAGTTGTTTATTCAACCTACAATGCTTGATTTAACCCTTTACCTCCTATGAGCGACCAAGACAGAATTTCTCCTTACAATATCAATACAATATCAACCAGATGAGTGACAAGAATAAAGAAAAATATCAATTTGGAAGTAATAAGTTGATCCAATACTGAATTCTCTGAACTAACGTTATAGGAATTGGTTGACAGTGAGGAGAATTACAAATGTGATCTGGGAGGTAAAGGGTTGAGGTGAAAGTGGACAAAGGTGGGAGGGGTGTCTGAACTAACTTGCAATTTTAAGCGATAAGAAATTGGTGATAGACAGTATATATTTGTTATACAGCTTTACAAATCTTCATGTTAAATCTCATGGCATATATCTATGTAGGCCATGACAAACAATATTCTTGTCCTGTAATTTTTTACCTAACTTTGCTTGTAATGGTGAGCCCAAACATATACAGGGTTGTGGGTGTAAGTTTCTAAGAAACTGTGGTGCTGCATCAGTGGGGAGTATAACAAGATAATTTTGGTTTTATCAGGAAAGAAAATTGGCCAAGAATTTCAAAGTTAACATTTTGAGCATTAGCCCTTTGTCAGAGCGAATTTATCAACTCATTTGATAAAACCAAAAGTATCCCAATATAGAAGGTTTATGTGTAGCAAGATCCTATAAACTGTTTGTTCAGCCCTGTAGCCTTTCACCATAACCAGATAATTTTTAATATAGATGGTTCAATAAATATCTTGTTAAAAGCTCTCTATAAGATCTCTATCATACAGTATTCACAGTCATATATACACATTTGAAAACTACAGTCAAACAATACAAAAAGACCATATTAAAGAACATGAAAGCAATAGGACCTATGTAGATGTAACAGCAATGCTTGTAAAAAAAATTGATCTTGTACAAGATAATTTTGAAATTAACAGTCTAAGTACTTCAACATCTTTTTGGTAAAAAAGAATAAAAAAAAAGTTGACACTGGCTAAAAAATATATTGTTCTAGACATTTCAGCTACTACTTTAACATCTCTTTATAACTGTCATGAAATGCACTCATGATGAGCCACAGTATTTGTCTGCCAGTCTTTTTTTTCCATGACTCTGGAGTGCCACTGAAAGATGAGCAAATGTTGCAGTCTTTCCTTGGTCAATCCAGGCTAAAAGCATTTGAAAAGCTTTTTCCTTTATTCCAGGGTACTGAATATTGTCACTCTGGATCTCCTCTAGTTTGGCATTTGGGATTTTCAGCTTTCGCCCCAAAAACTTCCAGAAAGAGACAATTTCTTGAGATAAGTTTTCCAAGACTTCTTCTGATGGCTGTTCATGATTGCTGTAATCTTCTTGGTCCATCTTTATCTTTTTGGGTGAGGGACCAACTATTTTCCAATAAAACAGGCAAGATGTTCATGAACCAGTTAAACCTCACAATCTCAAAAGCAATCAAAACAAAGCTTCTCTTTACAATATCAATACAGTATCAGGCTGATCAGCATTAAGCATAACGAAAATTAACAGCTGGCAAAATGTCATGAAATGACATTTAATTCTCAGGAAAATTGAAAAATAACCATAAAAATATCACTAAAAGGAGAAATGATGGATGAACTCGAGGTTTTATTAAAAAAAGTTGTCTGACCTTCAAAGATCTCCTTGTCCTGACTGTCTGAGAAACTGTCACTGATTTTTGTATCTGCATTAAAAGGAAAAAAGCTCATTATTGTCCAACCAGTAGTAAAAAATTTCACAACAAAGGTAAAAATAACATGAAAGACGGTGATGCTCAGGAGAGCTTCTTTTCCATGGGTTCAATCAATCACAAAAGATATGCCTGAGCAAGGATATAGCTTGAAAAGGGACATGCATAAATATCATTCTTAAAAATGATTCTTTATCAGATTAATTAGCTCCATCAACTGAAGTTTTAGTCTAAAATTCTTGGTAACAATAAATATCCAAACAAATAACACCCTATCAAAGATTTCTTAAACCTTCCCAGCAGGACAAATATTAAGTATAGTCTGCATACGAGGGTCCCATGGCTTTCTGAATCAAAATAGACTCTAATGATAATTTGTTTAATGCTAAATAAGGGCTTGTTTTGGTATATCAAAAAAAGTTTAGACAGTCAGAAATTTTACTGTTGTTCCCATAACAGACATTGATAGCTGATGGATACTAAAAATCAGATACATCCATACTTATTTAGGATGGTCAGAGATGAATCAGAAAAAAATCACAACCACTTCTTTTTTCCCCAACATGTTCCAGATTCTCGTCAGTATTCATTTAGGGTGTATAAAAGTTTCAGTTTTGGCTGTCAAGATTTTTGGTAATGTTAGTTTTTACTTCAAACAGCTTATACTATTTTGCAAAATGAAACAAAACAAAACAAAACAAAACGAGGTGACATATGACAAAACTAAAGGAATAATGCACATATATTTTGTAATAAGGTAAAGATAACTTTCACAAGGATTTTGGAGTAATCATGAATTAACAAGAAGGATTTCATTCATTTTGCAACATAGTTGTTTAAGAAGAGGTACTACTTTGCAAATTGACTAATAGTCCATTTGGCAAAATAGTATCTCTCCTAAAATTATTGTTTAGCAAAAAGTACTTTAATATGGTTTAAGAAATAAGAGGAGCTCATAATCTTTGGTGATATATTAATTTGTAATGTTTAAATGTATTTTTGTGTAATGAAAGAGGTCAAGTTATCACCAAAGGGTGAAAATAGGCGATTTTGCAAAACAATTACTATTCTGAAATTACTACTTTGCAAAATGAATAAAAATCCTTCTCATCAATAGATGATTACTCCAAAATCCTTATGAAAGTTATCCTCACCTTATTAAAAAATACATCTGCATTATTCCTTTAGTTTTGTTATATCTTGCTTGGTTTCGTTTAGTTTTGTTTCACAAAACAGAATTAAAGCCACTTCAAACAAATTCTAAATTGCTTGGGTAGAGTCACACAAAGTTTAACATTCAATCAGTAGAATTGGGGGCACATGTGTTTGCAATTTTCCTGATATACTGGCACAGTCTGGGATGGTGAAGAAACAGTGAAATACACTATCATCCCAGATTGTTTTTTCCAACTAATGATAGCCAGCATTTCACTGTGATATTAGTCTTGGTGAATAAAAAGGTACAATAAATAAGAAACATACAAGTTCCTTCCTGCAGATGCATCAGAATTTCACTGGTCAATGTTCCTTTATTGTAACTCAGTTCTCCACATCCTTTGTGATGAACAGCAATCAGTGCCAGTCCCTCAGAGGCCAGTACTGGTGAACCAGAGGAACCGGTCTCTGTATCAGCTTTATAGAAAACAAAGGGTTTCTCCACATTTGAAATTTTTTCTTGAGAGAAATGCTTGGGTCGTCCTTTTGGATGCTGAATTATCATGACATTCTCCCCCTTTTTCAATTCCGGCTCTGGTTCCATAAGTATGGGTTGAATGGTTAGGTTCAAACCGTCAATATCTGCCTTGTCCACACCAACAAACGTATAGTCAAGCTCCTGACAACAACAAAATTAATCATCAGCACAATGTGAATACCTAAAATGCTGACTATGGTAACTTTACAAGGTGATAACAGAGCATGTCAAGAGCTATAAAAATTTCAGAGAAATGGCTATGCCTCATTGCAAAGTGATGGAGCAAACAAGAAACTAATCCAGAGAGCATAGGATTAACTCCTGGGTTGGGTTGTTCAAAGCTGAGTCAAGATAACCCAGGATTAGGGAGAAATTTTATGTCAGATCTAAAAGCTTTCAAAGAAATTTTTTTTGTCTACAATGTTGTGATTGGATGTTCTCATGAGAATAGAGAAAATTATCCCAAACAGGCTTTTGAACAAAGGAATTAAGGAAACCCAGATAAATTTAACCTTGGGTTAGCACTAGTTGGCCATCAAAAACTGGGTCCCAAAGGAAAAATTTTTCAGATATCTTTTCACAGAAATGATTGTATCATCCATAAAACTATCAATTTCAAATTGTGGCACAATTGAAATATGTCAAAATGGAAGAGTCCAAGAAACCCACAAGTGAGGAAGGTTGAGGACAAATGATCAACAAACAAAATTAATGTTTATTCAAGGTTCTCTCCAATTAGCCATGGTAACCAAGCCTAGCACAAGATGGAAACCTTCTGTAATTGATTGGTCTAAGTTGGAGATGAAACTGTCAAATCAACTGGAAAGCCAAAATCCAAATTTATTGCATTACATCATTAGTGTACATTCTCCTTAGTCAAACTCATTAGATAAATCTCCTGTCACTATAAATTTGCATTTCATAGTCCTAATAGAGAACCTTTGTTATATTTAAAACTCCCAAACTCCCATATGGAAAGCAACCTTTAGGACATTGCCTGCTGGAATATTTTCTCTAAGACGAAATTTTGAAAATCCTCGAATGCAATTTCCAAATGGTGCAACAACCAAAATCGGTGGTGGGGAGGAGGGGGAACCCGATAAAAAAATGGAGTTTCAAATTGTATTTATTTCTTCAGTCCTGCATTAACAAAAAAGACACGTTTGTCTCAAAATAACTAGAATAGAGAGGAAACGGGCACGTCTGGCCTCCAAATTTTAAAATTGCCTAGGAAGCTTCATTGTAGAATTGAACGGCGCATTGTATCACATACACATACTGCACTCACCTTGTTGGTACGAAACATTTTTTCTGGTTTTAATTTAACCTGCTGTCCTTCTTCTGATCCTTCATACCCGAACGTGGCGTGAGCTTTTTCAGCATCGTTTATTGAGCCAAGCACGTGGTTATTAGTAAACACTCCATAAATTTCAAGACAACCTCTTTCACTTGGCATATTAAGCTTGGATAGGAAACCGGTACCTCGCCTAAAATTTGAGAAGAATCGAGATAAAGTTAATATGCACAACTTAAAAGTCTTGGGAATAAAAGAGAGTACTGAAAAATACCACTAAGGAAACGATAATGATAACAATAAAACGAAATCCTACTTTAGTCGCTCTTTGCGGGAAATCGGATCTTTGAGAACAGTCTCGATGTAACACACCGCGTTGATTTTATCCGTGAGAAGTTTGGTACTCTGAAGGCCATTACCTTCACTTAATATGACTTCATTTTGTTCCATGGCAGCCATGAAAATAGTTTCAGCGAGGTAGCGAGGAGGAAAATGCTAGAGTGAGCAAATTTTGTTTACGTTTTGCTTCCACCTGGTCGCCATTCTTATGCAAATAATCTCCCGCGCAAGTGAACTCTTCCCCAGTCTACTCCCAGGAAGGATAGAGAGGTCAGTCTGGGCCCTTCTGAAAGATTTGTCCCAGACAGACTCCCAGACATAGTTTTACCTGTATCAAATTTACTTTCCAAACCCATTTTCACTCAAAAAGAAGTTTCGTGACTTTAAGAGACCTTTATTAAGCGAATACCGACGGGATATTGGGTGTTTGTTCAACATAAGGTCTAGAAAGTCACGTTACGATGAGCAAACATGACTTTCTAAGAACGATCTCTGCGGAAATCCCGCCCGGTATCTCAAAGGGTGTCCCCCGGGAGCTCTCTCGGGATCTGGCGGATAATCTCGTCTGAATCCCGCACTGAATCCCGACGAGATCCTTAGCGACAGCGACAACAATTAACCCTTTAACTGGTAAGAGTGACTAGCATCTAATTTCTCCTTACAATATCACCCCCGAATCATGCAGTAAGGTGATGACAGTAGAGAAAATTATCAGCAGCAAAGAAGCTGTAAATTGTTCCATAAATTCTCCTTACCAGCACCTCAGGGAATGTATGGGGAACAGAATGGAGAATACCTTTACCGATGTTTGGGTATAAAGGGTAAAGAAAACAAACGACCGGTGAAAAGATAAATACATACATTAACAGGTAAAACGATTTGTGTGCAGCCAAAGTTTAATTTTTAAGTATGGGGTAACCGAAAAGTCCAAGTGTACAAGTAAGGTTGTAAATTAAGTCTAACAAATGAACAAGTAAATAAACAAATAAAATATTTGATGAAGTTAAATTTTAATCAAACAAGAACGTTCCTTTAGAGGGTTCAACTGAGTATTGTCCGCTGACTTTTGAAAACTTTTATATTTGGCCACTTCCAATACAATCAATTCTTATGTTACTGCATTTGATGCATTTCCTAAAAGAGCAGTTACTTGCAGTGAACGATATAATAAGCCCCAAGAGGTTTTCTAGGGCTCTTCCAAGTTCCCAATAGGGGTATTTTTAATAAGAACACGAAGGGATCCAAAATGAGATTGGGGATATCACCCTGCTTAAGGAATGCCGTTTAAAATATTGTATGCATTCCTTTGTTCGAGGAAGTAGGTTTCCATGATGCACTGAAACGCTATCTTGTTCAAATGAAAAGAAACAGAATGACATAAACAACCGCAAAAAATTTTTATCGCAGTATCATTTCACTATGAGTTTTCACTGAAGCGTTCTCATTTATGGGAGGTGAGAGAGGCAAGATGCAAACTTGAAGCTCTCGACAAGGTACTTACTTGAGCATTTGGAGCTCAAGAAAAACATTTGCTGATAACTTAAACTTACGCAAGAAATCAAAATTCCCTCCGCCTTGCGTTCGCCTCGACTTCTATTTTAAAGTGATTCTGCCCTCACTGTCCTATGGTCTCGTCTTATGGGGATAGTGCTGTAATAGTGAAATACTTCAGTCTCTGAAATGGCCCCATTGCAGAGCAGTAAGATTTATTTTAAACCTTCCCTACGATATTTAGTCATAATATTTAGTCATTACTTTCAAAGTAGCATTACATCCACATGTACTTTCAGATCAGAAGATTTTATTCACACATAACACCTATTAAGTTAATCCCTCGAAATACTGTAATTTGCATGAAAGTTAGTAAACTTTACCCTTCTCGAAATTGCTGTACATCTTAGGTTTTGGGCAAATCGTAACCTTTCGTGAGTCCATTGACACACTAGATCTTTAAATAAACGACCCCACAAGCTTTACAGCTTTAACAATTATCGTTTCAAAATAAAAGGATTTGAACAACCGCAAAACATTTTTATCGCAGTATCATTTTGCCCACGAGCTTTTACGGGAGCGTTTTCATTTGGGGAAATTGGGAGAGGTAAGATCTAGTTTACTAGAAACTTGAAGCTCTCGACATGGCACATACTAGAGCGTTTTCGGTAAAAGAGTTATAAGAATATTTTCATTAAAATGTCATTTTATGTAAGTCCTATGACAAGTAACGCGCCTGTTTTCAACCTTCCAAACGGGAGACTTTCTAGTCACACTTTGTATATTGTCCTGAAGTCGTTGTTAATTAGGCTTAAGGCGAAACAAGCTATTTCACTGGAGGGGAAAATGTAATGCCCCCAGACACCAAGAGAAGGTTCCCCTACCCTTACCCGTCCCAGCCCGATGAAAAACAAAACGACGACAAAAAATATGCATGAAACAAACACTTTTGACACTGGTCTGGGTGTAAAAACAGGATGAATTGATATAAATACGTTAAAAAAATTAAGTTTTTCGCTTATAAAGTCTGGGTCAGTTGGAGCATACAAAACCACGAACTTTCGCGAAAAGAAATGTTTTGTTTCTTTCCTATAAACAATAAACTGTCCATGAATAGTTATCAAACAGTTCTAACTCTCTTGTGCATCTTCACGTAACATGGCGATAAAGGGTGCGGAACGCCCACGACATGTCGCGGAGACGGCAAAGGAACCTCTTCCTTCACTAACTCTAGGTCAAAACTACAAAGAAGAAGAGATATAAACATTTGTATTTCCATCATGGCAAACCGACGACCTGGACACTGAAAGCGACCGCCGCCAAACGCAAAGAATTTGTCAGAGGGGGCAGATTTATCTGAGCCTACAGTCTGATTCCAGCGTTCTGGAACGTAGGATCTTGCATCAGGATAGATGGCTTCGTTTTGATGCGCCCAATAAGGTGAAATCATAAGCATATCACCTGCTGGAATTGTAAATTCACGAACTTGCATGGGTCCTGTAAGTTTGCGAGCAATCATTCCTGCTGGACGCAGGCGAATGGCTTCCAAAATACAGTGCTCCACCTTGCGCAGTTTCTTAACTTCTTCCAGAGAAAGTTTCGCCAACGACCCTGCAAGACATGAACGAGTTGCATCACAGAGCTCTGTTGAGTTTCAAACAGAGATTAGTGATAATTTTACAGCTACCCTCTTTGTATTCAAGGAATT